CCCTGACCCCCACCCAGCGCATTCTGTCCCCCTGACCCCCACCCAGCGCATTCTGTCACCTTGACCCCACACAGCACATTCTGTCACCCTGACCCCACCAGCGCATTCTGTCACCTTGACCCCCACCCAGCGCATTCTGTCACCCTGACCCCCACCCAGCACATTCTGTCACCCTGACCCCACCAGCACCCCATCCTGGCCTTGGCCTCCCACCCACCCCTCCCCACGACCCTCAAAGCCTCCCCCCTACCCAGCAGCCCCTTCTGAGCGCAATCCGGACCCCTCCTTTCCCTCACTGCCCATCCCACCGCAATCCCACCGCAATCCCTACCTCCATCCCAGCACAACTGCATCCCGCCCCAGCCATCGCCCGTGCCCGCCGTGCCTCCCCGTGCCCACACGCGTGTCCCCGCGCCCACACGCGTGTCCCCGCGTCCCCGTGTCCCCGCAGCGCTGGCGGCTCTGGGCGCTGCGCGGGTGCGCGGCCGCCGCCGGGCCCTGCGCAAGGGGCTCCTGCAGCGCTCCCGGGACGACATGCGCGACAACATCCTCAACTACGACGAGCAGGGCGGGGGCGAGGAGGACCAGGTGAGCAGGGCCCGTGGCAGGGGCGGTCTCGGGGGTCCGCAGCTCAGCCCCGCACCTCTAAACCCCTCCCGGCCCCGCAGGACGCCTACGACATCAACCAGCTCCGGCACCCCGAGCTCTTCTCCCCCCGGGCCAAGCCCCCCCTGCGCAGGGACGCCCCGCTCAGCTCCGGGACCCCCGTGGCCCCCCGCAGGCTGCCCAGCAGCCCCTCCGACATCGAGGAATTCATCAACGAGGTGGGTCAGGGCCCGGCGGTCCCCGCCGGTTCCCCATGGCCGGAGGGGTGACGGTGACCCCCTGTCCCTGCAGGGGCTGGAGGCGGCTGACAGCGACCCCAGCGTGCCCCCCTATGACACGGCCCTCATCTACGACTACGAGGGCTCGGGCTCGGTCGCCAGCCCCCTCAGCTCCATCGTGTCCAGCCTGACGGACGAGGACCAGGACTACGACTACCTGAGCGAGTGGGGGCCCCGCTTCCGCCGCCTGGCCGACCTCTACGGGCACTAGCGGGGACGGGGGGCAGGAGGGGACAGCCCCTGCCCAGGGAGGGGCTGGGGCAGGGACGGGGCGGCGGGCAGCTCGCACACACACACACACACACACACACACACACACACACACACACACACACACACACACAGAAGATGCCCAGAGGCGGCGGCTTCAGGAATGGACCCGCGCAGGATGCCCGGCTGCAGCGGCTTTGCACACGCGTGTGCAACGAGCGGCCTCCGCGCAGGGCGCGCACACACACAACGCCCCGCAGAGCCCAGCTCAGCAAACCTGGGAGCCCCACACAGCCGGGGAGGGGGTGAGGAGACCCCTGGGCACCCCCACAATAAAGAGCGGGGGGCGGTGGCGGGGTGTGCGATCCCCCCACACCAGGACCCGTAGAAACAAGGCACTTTTATTGGGAGCCAGCAGCACCCCCGGGGGGCTTCACCCCCGCCCCGCGGCTCCCGGCACCGCCGCTCCTGGGGCGGGATCCGGCCCCCCGTGGGGTGAGCGCTGCTCCCCCAGCCCGCCCGTCCTGCTGCTCCCCGAACATCCCTGGGCGGGGGTCCCTGCCCGGCCCCCTACCCCAGCCGCAGGGAGAGCCCCGGGGAGCGCGGGGGGCACGGTTACATCTCGCGGGGGGCGTCCGGGGAGCGCAGCATCCTCTTGGCGGAGGCGGCCAGGCGGGAATAGTCGTGCGGGATGGCGTGGGGGGCCAGCAGGGGCAGGTGGTCCTCGCGGGGCGGGCGGCGGAACAGGGGCGGGCGGCGCTGGCTCTCGCCGTCCTGCAGGGACTGGGGCAGCCCCCGGCCCTGGCTCTCGGGCAGCAACATGATGCTGAGCACGGCCAGGATGGCGAAGGAGGCGAACACGACGTGGTGCAGGAAGAAGCCGCGGCTGTTGGGGATGGCGGTGATGGGCGCCGCCGCCTTGCCCACGAAATTGGCCCCCACGACCAGGCCCAGCCCGGCGCCCCTGCGGGAGGAACACGCTCAGGGGGCTCTGCCCGGTGCCCCCCGCTCCGGGGTAGCACAGAGGGGGGCAGCTCCCCCTTACCTGATCACGGTGGGGAGAACCTCGCTGGCAAAGAAGATGCTGAGCATGGTGACGGCGTGGGAGGCGGCCGTGCCCACCACGGACAGGGTCAGGACGATGAGCTCCAGCAGGTCTGGGAGGGGGTGAAGCACAAATCAGGGCACAAATCCCGCAGCCACCTCTCTGCACCCTCTCGTCCCCCTGGCCGGGGCGGCGGGCCGGGGGTCCCGCGGGGGTCTTACACTGGGTGAGGGCCAGCAGCAGGAGGGAGGAGATGCCGGTGAGGACGGTGCAGAGCAGGAGGATGGCGCGGCGCCCGAAGCGCTCGGCCGTCAGGCACACGAAGAGGCAGGCGGCCGCCTCGGTGCCCACCAGCGCCAGGTGCGAGGAGAAGAAGTGGGGCAGGTGCGGGACCAGGTTGCGGGTGAAGCAGTGCCGGATGCCGGAGCCGATGAACCTGAGGGACAGCGGGGTCAGGGGGCCGCCGGCGGGACCCCCCCGCCCACGGCCACGCCGCCGACAGCCCCGCCGCTCACGCCGCGAAGCCGAGGATGACGCCGTTCTTCCAGATGACCCTGGTGCCGCAGATCTCGCAGACCGAGTGGTACCGGGGCCCCGGGGGCCCCTCGGACAGGGCCTCCAGCTCTGCCGGGAGAGGGGAAAGCGGGCTAGGGCGGCTCTGTTACACCACCCGCACAGCCACGGCTCCGGGATGGGGCTGATCGCCCCCGGGGTCCCCCCACGCACCCGCGAGGAGGCTGTCCTGGGGGCAGTTGTCTTCAGCCAGTGCCTGCAGGGTCTTCCTGGCCCTCTCCAGTTGCCGTGTGGCCAGCAGCCAGCGCGGTGACTCCAGCAGCAGTGCGGGGCACCTGGGGCACGGGTGTCAGGTCACGGGGCTGCCCACGGGCCTGGCCACCCTCCAGCACCGACCTTCCCACCTGGTTTCAAAGCAACGCTGCCCAGAAACCCTCAGCTCCAAACCTGAGCAAACATTTACCCAGGGTGGGGGGGTTCCCACTCCTCTGGAGAGCCCCGGGTGGCCTTTGATCCCCACCGCGGCCCCGGGCAGGGTGTCCGGGGCTGGGAAGAGCTTGGCACCAGCCCCAGGGCACAGCCCAGCCCCACGCAGCTCCCGTCCCGGGGGGTCCTTACCACCAGCTGGCAGCCAGCAGGGCCAGGATCATGGTGACAGCGCCCTGCAGCACCCGCCAGTCCCGGCACAGCAGGGCCAGCCCCGGCAGCAGCAGCTCCCCGGCGATCCAGAAGAATCCGGCCACCATCGTCACCCCCAGCCGGTGCGGGGGGTCACACAGCTCCAGCCCTGGCAGGGGGCGAGGGGGCCACAGTGGGTGCCAAGGACGCGGGCATCCTGCACCCTGGAGCATCCCGCAGCCCAGGGCGTGCAGGAGCATCCTCAGCCCCCACCCGCTCCGGATGCCCCCAGCACACTCACGTGCCACGTAGAGGGCGAGGAAGGCTCCTGCCAGCGCGGCCCCGAAGAGCAGCCGTGCCACCAGGACCATGAGGAAGTCCACAGCCAGTGCCACGCCGAGGCCCACGGGCACGGCCAGTGCCAGGGACAGCAGGAAGGTGGCACGGCGGCCAAACCTGCCAGGGACGGGCCGTGAGGGGCTGGGCACGGTGCCCCCTGCCGCGGGGGCTGCCCGGGAACCCCCCTTACCTGTCACAGGCCATGCCGGCGGTGACACTGCCCAGCGTCCAGCCCAGCAGATGCGTGGTCTGCTCCAGGGGCACCTTCCAGCGCGAGGCACACACCAGGTCCCACTGTGGGGACACAGCAGGGAGGTGTCAGCGTGGGGGGCTTGGCAGACCCCCTGACTGCCCACAGGGCTGGGATGGATGGCGCTGCAGGGCTCCTGGAGAGCCCCCACCCCACAAACAGAAATGTGGGGACGTTACCGGCTATTCCAAGAGCCCTGGACACCCTCCAGCCCCTCGGCGCCCTTCCCCAGGGCTCCCCCAGCCAGCCCCAAACCCCTTCCAGGGGGTCCCTGCTCCCCCTGCACATCCAGGGCTCTCCCGTGGGATCCTTACCGGACCCCCCGCAGGCTCTGCTGGCTGGGACCCCCCAGTTTGTTCCCCCGGACTCCTCGCAGGTATCCACCCCAGAGCGTTCCCAGGCCCCTCCCTGCACCCCTCCTCTACCCACGGCACCCCTGGGTCCCCTCGGCGCCGCCGAACGCCCCACGCGCGGGGGTCCCCCACTCTCCGGGAGCCTGGCACCCCCTCGGTCCCACCAGCCCCGTGCCCACCTGCGTGACGAGGTTGGCGCGGAGGCCGGCGGCGGGCAGCGCGTAGTGCCAGCCGCGGGTGCAGGGCCCGGTGCCGTTGGGGCGGGGGTCTCCGGAGGGGTACCGGTACAGCTGGCAGGGGCTCCAGCCGCCGCGGAGGCGCGGGACGGCGGCGCGGAGCAGCGCGGGGCCGCCGAGGCGGCGGAGCGGCGGCGGCAGCAGCGCGGCGTCGGGGCGGCAGCGGTGCGGGGGCTCCGCGCCCAGCGCCCAGCCCAGCGCCCAGCCCAGCGCCAGCGCCGCGCACGGCGCCCACCCCCCGGCCGCCCGCCGGCCCCGCGGCCGCGACCCCCCGAGCGCCATCGCCGCGGCCACCGCCACCGCCACCGCCACCGCCACCGCCACCCGCAGCGCTCGGGCTCGGCGCCGGCGGCTGGGGCGGCACCGGCCGGACCCGCCCCGCGGCGCCGCCCCGACCGCTCCCTCCGGATCCGACCCCCAGCCCCGGATCTG